CCTGAACTACCGCTTTCTGGGGGAGAAGGACTGCGGGGCGCCCTGCGAGCCCGGCCGCCTCTACGGGCTCATGTACTTCGGGCCCGAGGAGCTGCGCTTCTCCCGCACTTGGATCGGCATCTGGTCGGTGCTCTGCTGTGCCTCCACCCTCTTCACCGTCCTCACCTACCTGGTGGATATGAAGCGGTTCAGCTACCCTGAGCGGCCCATCATCTTCCTCTCGGGCTGCTACACGGCGGTGGCCGTGGCCTACATCGCCGGCTTCCTCCTGGAGGAGAGAGTGGTCTGCAACGAGCGCTTTGCCGAGGACGGCTCCCGCACCGTGGCGCAGGGCACGAAGCGGGAGGGTTGCACCATCCTCTTCATGATGCTCTATTTCTTTGGCATGGCCAGCTCCATCTGGTGGGTCATCCTCTCCCTCACCTGGTTCCTTGCTGCCGGCATGAAGTGGGGCCACGAGGCCATTGAGGCCAACTCCCAGTACTTTCACCTGGCTGCTTGGGCCGTGCCGGCCATCAAGACCATCACCATCCTGGCCCTGGGACAAGTGGATGGGGACGTTCTCAGCGGTGTCTGCTTTGTGGGCATCAACAACGTGGATGCCCTGCGGGGCTTCGTGCTGGCCCCCTTGTTCGTCTACCTGTTCATTGGCACCTCTTTTCTGCTGGCTGGCTTTGTGTCCCTCTTCCGGATCCGGACCATCATGAAGCACGACGGCACCAAGACAGAAAAGTTGGAGAAGCTCATGGTGAGGATAGGCATCTTTAGCGTCCTCTACACGGTGCCGGCCACCATCGTCATTGCCTGCTATTTTTACGAGCAAGCTTTTAGGGAACAGTGGGAGAGGAGCTGGGTCACACAGAGCTGTAAGAGCTATGCCATTCCCTGCCCCAACAACCACAGCAGCCACCACCCGCCTATGAGCCCTGACTTTACTGTCTTCATGATCAAGTATCTCATGACCTTAATTGTGGGCATCACTTCGGGCTTCTGGATCTGGTCTGGGAAAACCCTGAACTCCTGGAGGAAGTTTTACACCAGGCTCACCAACAGCAAGCAGGGCGAGACCACTGTCTGAGACCCCTGCCTGCCGGACCAGGGGGATGTGGGCGGCCAAAGGACCGAGGCTCTGCCTCGGGAAGCAACTCCTTACCCAGCCTGGGCAAACTTTGGGGACCGCAAGTGTCTTCCGCAGGCGACAGGGAGCGGAGGACGAGCCGGGGGGACTCTGGGGCCCGGGACCGCAGGGCTCGGCCCTCCCCACGCTGCTCGGGTTGTCTCCTGTAGGAGCTGAACGCATTGTCAGGTTGGGGGAGAGGGATGTAAATAGCCTCTGTAAGATTTTGTAAGTATATTTGTATTTAAATTGCAAAAAACCTCACTTTTTTAATTATTTAGGACACTTTTAACCCGTTTGCGGATTTTACTTCCTTGCCTCCCTCCCCCCCTTTTTTATTTAAAGAAAAAAAGGCTTTGGATTTGTATTTCGTAGGGCAGAATGGGAAAAGCTGCCGGTAAGAGAAACGAAAAAAACCCCTTTCTTCTCCCCCCCACAGGTTTTGTAATGGCTTTGCTTGGAATTTCGGCTGCATCAGCAGCAGGGCCCGGAGCGGGGTTGCGGCCGCGGCCGGGGTCGCCTTCTGACCCGGGCTGGCTCCCGATCCCGACTCCGAGGTGGGGATGGGCAGGAGCGCCGCTTTCCGCCCTGGCCCCGTGTGGGGGAGGACGGACCCCATCCCGTCCCCTACTGGGAGGGACGTGGAGCCGCCTGGCCGTTTGGCGCAGGACAGCGCTGCGCCGGGGCCCGCGGCCCCGCTGACCCGCCGGGCCTTTCTCGGGAGATGCGAACATCATCCAGCCCTGCCCGGAGCGCGGCCGGTCTGGGGCGGCTGCGGGGCCCCACACGGCTCGGGAGGAGTTGACCCCCTTCCCTGTAGGAGTTGGGGTTCAGCACCGCCTGCACCTGTAGCACGTCCGATGGCTCAGGAGGTGGCTGGGGACAGAAAGACACCGAAATTCCCTCCTGCTCTGGTATTTTTTTAAGCCCACTTTGCAGTCCGGGGGCGCTCCGCGGGTGCTCCCGCCGCCGCCTGCCCCGGTCCCTCCCCGCCGCGCTGCGGCCGGCTGGGGTCAGCAGGATCAGGAAATGCGGGCTCAGTGAAAAGAGCTCCGTCGGAATAAAACGCAGCGTTCAGTTTGAGGCTTTTGTTGACACACCCTCCCCTCCCCCCCAATTATATTGATACACCGGCTCTTCATATGGGAAACATTGGAGCCGTTGCCATTCTTCTGAATTGTAATTCATTGAGATTTAATTCATTACACATTATGAGGGTGTGATCATTTTTGCCAGTAGTAAAAACGATGGAAGGGAAAGCAGAAAACCATAATGTTTAAGCAGTCTGGTGAGTTGTGAGACTTGAAAGAATCTCTGCTTTCTTTTCCCTGTCTTATTTTCGGTCCAGTAATAACATTGCATACTGCAAGGATAAGATACCATGTGTGCAGTATATCTACTACCTTGTATGCTCCTGGATGTGTGGGATTGTGCTTCTAATCCATAAAAAAAGTTAAAGATTAAATTGTAACTTTCGACAGATGCATTTGAATATGTAGACCTCTGTATGAAAAACAGCAGAATGCTTCTCTCCTGATTGTATTGTTTTAAACTTTTTTTTTTAATATTACAAATGCCTGTATTTAGGTTCATAAACATTATCTATGGCTACCATACCCTGAAATGCAAAATTATTTTAATTTGGTATGCATTTATTTCTGTTCATTATCACAAGATCATCTATATTTATAGAGGAATAGAAATTTATATATATTAAATACCATATTTTTAATTTCTCTGAAATAAATTGAGGTTTTGTACAAAACTATCTTGTCCCTTTATGTATTCCTCTGATGAACTTAAATACTCTGTGAAAGCAGTGTATATGCTACAAGATGTGTGGGATTTCTTTTTTCTTAGGTTGAGTTCACAGTAACAAGCTGAAATTCAGTGTAGGAATTCATTGTGCATTTTGTTTTTTATTTCTGGGCCAGTCTAAATTAATCCTTCAAAAGAAGTAATGTAAACTGTTCAAAATCTCTGACAGGGTATGGTCGGTGGTGTGAAATCTAAGAAGAGATCTGGTATATGGCAGGAGAAGAAAGAAGCTCACCAGTTCTTTTTTTTTTTGGTGTTTTTATTTTGGTTGTAGAAAAGGGTTCTCTCAACTTAGCCTTTCTTCTCCCTTTCCTACTAAAATACAAAAAAAAAGATATTTTCTTATAATGATATTCTGCTTAAAAGGACACTCGGACTATGTTGCAATATTGTCAGAACATTTTAATGAGTAAAATAGTTTTGTTCTGTTGAATTTTGAATGTTTGGTTAATCCAGAGTTAAACAATAGTTTAACTGGACAGTTTAAATGGAAGCATTTCAGATCTGTGGAAAGTACACACATTCTTTAATCTTTCAACACAAGACATTCTTTTTTTTTTCTTTTTCTGTAATTCATTTTTCAAAGTGCCATTCTGTAAGTGTGGGTTTGTTAGGAAAGACTGAAAGGCTGGTTAATTTTTAGTGTTACGAGCTAGTAAAGCATTTCATTATGTAGATCTGGAGGCAGATGTAAATGATTTTTGGCTTGTTTACTTTTTTCAAATCATGATGCATAAACAAACAGAGGGAACTAAGGGAAGCTTAGGAGAATTTCTCTAAGGTGAGGCAAGGGGGCAGGGTTTTGTCATTATTTTAAAATTTGTTTTAATAAACATAGTTCCTGTTTTCTCAGATATTTGGACATTTTTCTCAAGTATTTTCCCCCCTTCTTTTTTTTTTTGGGGGGGTGGATATTTTACCATTTAAAATTGTGCTAGTCATCACTCTGCTAATGACCTGAAGTACAAGCTATTCACTTTCAGTTGCAGTGGAATTCTTTTTTGTCAGTGTATAATTACATTTCAGCCGTTTTGACTGATCTGTTTTCTTGCAGCAGAATGTAGGTGATTTATTTATGCATGGGAGAACACAGTTATTTGTAACAGGAGATCTTGTATTTATGGTAGGGATGGGAGAACCAACTTTTAAAAAATCATTCTCAAAAACGAATAATGAAATTGTTTCTGCAAAAAGTAAAATATCAGTATTTGCAGTTCATTATTTGCAGCACATATGGATCTCCTTCAGCTCTTTGGAATTTTATTTTTTTCATAGATTGCAGAGTTGAAGCTCCATGTTCAGTCTTGGTTATTTTAATAAATATACTAGAGAGCACAATATGATCATAAATCAATTGAAAGAGCACCCCCTGCTTTTTCATTTGCTAATTTTTGTGACCCTTCACAGGGCTGTAATTTGCAAATGTCACAGTCATTACTGAATGCTGTGGTGCTATCTGTATGACTCACCTACCTTTTTATACTTTCATTTCTCAACGCATAATGGTATTTCAGATGCTTTATTAATATAATACAAAGGTGGGTTTTGCATGGGTATATAGCAGTTATCAGTGTTTTACCTCACTGTTAAAAACAAATCTATCTATTGCTCCAGGGAGTTCAGATTTTTTACAACATAGTCTGGGTAATTGATGTGCCATGTTTACCAGAGAAAGCATCACTATATACAAAGAAGCAGTTTTGCCCACTTCTCCTGTCCCTGACAAGAAGGTTAATATAAGAACAAAACTGGTATAACAAAGTTTGTTGGGCTGAAGTTCTAGTTAAGGCATTCTGTAGTCAGCAACTTTACTTTCTCTCATGGGATATATTTATAGACTGAAATGAAGGGGCACTCAGAATCACCATTCCCCCAAAGAGATCTGTAGCCTGAAGAGCTGGGGATGTTGATTTACTGTTCATCCTTCAGTAATAGTAATACTCTTTAATGTAGTGGCAAATTTGTGGTATTGGAATGAAATTATATGCTGTTTCCATAACAAATCCTATTGGGAAGGAGAAGGATTTCTGGTTTGTTCACACAGTAGCTCCCAGAATTTCTGGTATATGTGTATACTTTTGCGTGTTGTGTTTAGTTTTGGTTTTGTTTTTTTTTTTTTTTTTAATAAGAGAGGCAAGGCTGCAATCTAGTAGGCCTGAATTCTGCCCTCTGGATGATGCCCACAGTTCTGCTGCCATCCCATTGCTTATTGTTGGACACAAGTGCAATTACAGGTGATGCTGAGGATCCCTTTCATTTAAAAGAACAATATTTGCACATTTTTAAAAATTATTATTCAAAGGGATGATAATTAGGCATGAGAAGAGACTGCTGTATATTTACAGGATGCATATTTTTCAGAGTGGGCTTTGGACTAGTGTCTCATCAGTCTTTTGCCAATCCCAGTCACAAGAGACAACTTTCAGACACGATGATCCTTTTGAAAGGGTGTGCGCCCTGCAGCTGACCAGAGAAAGTAATGATGGTTTGGCATGACTTGCATAGTTTAAAATTATTGAGGGTACTCTTGCAAAAAGTTTACATTTGTGTGACATGGCTCCTCCTCCGCAGTGCTGCATGGCCTCAGAAATCAGCAAGCAAACCTCAGGGCAGCTGAAGTGGTGATAAGTAAGAGTTTAAATGCTGACCTATAAAAATAAGGAAACTGAGGTAAGGCTCTGTTTTCATCACAAATTTACCCTCTAGTGCTCAGGCACTGGAATTGCATTATATTTGACAGATCTTTCCAATGACAACACTACAAGACTGGCAATACTGTGCAAAATCAGTTATGAATATCAGCCCCTTCCCCCTTTTTAATTCTCCTAGGTTTTTATTAGTTGTTTACACTTACTGGACTCAGAGCATCATTGCTCTGCATGTTGTGCAAACTTGGAGTGAATGGATCATATGGATTCTGAATTCAAATATTTATTAAAAAATGCAAGTGCATTATATGCTTGGTCCCATTAGAAGAACTGGTTGCTCTTATGTCCGTATCTATGAGAGTTTTTTGTATTTGTAAGTCTCTTGCCTCTATTGTTCATCAGTTGAGCTGGAAGGCTTAGGCAATGATTCACGCTCATTTGGAGAAGGAGAACTTTGTTTTTCTTGCTGTGGACTAATCCCCTTGCTGTTTCTGTGTTTGCAGCATACAAGAGTCACCAGAGAAACACTTTGTTCTGAAGCTCCTGATCAATTTTGGAATAGCAATACCATAATTTATGAACAGGTTCGGGGATTTAGGAAGCTGAGGCTTTGGTTTTTACAGTTTATTTTTTAGAAGTCTACAAGAATTTTAAGATGTGAAACAGCTTCTTAAGGACAAACTAAGCATGTCAGGATTAGGTCCTGGATGCATTGCAAGCATTATGAGCCCCATATTCATTTGAGAGTAGCCCAGTGATGGTGTTAAAGCAGATGAGATAAGCCCTATAAGAAAAAAAGAAAGGCATAATTGCATTTATTTGCCAACTGAAATTCACTCTGCACCTTTTGTCATTTGAGGTCACTAAATGGAGAAGCAAATATAATTTCTGTCATATGGGAGAAATTTCAGTGAATTAGCAAAATAGGCCTTAATAAGCAGTATGTAATTGCAAGTGCAATTACAAAGCAATACTACTTTGATAGTTCAGTTGTAGACAATGCTTTTCAAAAATTTAAATACTTTAAAACGTGCTGATTTTGTAGGCCATGGCAACTGTGTTTCAGATCCCAACTTGTGTTTAGTCTAAACTTCCAGTGTAACCACATCAGAGAGTCTTCCAGGCATGAGGTCTTGCCCTTGTTTGCATTCAAATCAGCAGCATTAAGTATTAAGCTTATCT